CTATTCTTCTCTTTGTTAGTATAGGGGAAGTTTTCTTTTTCATTAAGTATTTCAATGTAAACAAAAACTTTACCCTATACTCAATGTCATAATATGTCATATCATACAGTGGATCAACAACTCTCACCCCTCCCCTCTCTCTCTCTCTCTCTCTCTCTTCCCTTGTTTACATGTTTACATTATATTTATGATAAAAGGACTTGTGGATCAACAACATCCGTCACTTTCTAGTACAATATATATTTCCCTTTTCTCTCTCTCACTCACTTTATCACTTACTTTTTTTCCGCCAGTTTATCAGCAAAGGATTTCGATACTAACAGCTGCTGATCCACAGCATTAAGAAGACTCATGATATCCCTTTCTCCAGCCACGAGGGACGACGGTTTTCGTTTCACCTCCTCCTCCTCTTCCTCCATTGAGGAAACGAGTTGAGAAGTGGAAGTTCTTGTTTCTGTTTTCCGATGGTCGAGACTTGGGGAGGACTGGGGGGAGGAGGAGACACTGAGAGGAATCTTGAGTATCTTGTATCTGTGTATCGACTCATTGCCTAGCAACAGATTAGATCTCTGTATGTCAGCAATCTAGAGAGGGAGAGGAGAGGGAGAGGGAGGGGGAGGGAAGTGAAAGAGGGAGAGGGAGGGGGAGGGAAGTGAAAGAGGGAGAGGGAGGGAGAGGGAAGTGAAAGGAGTAAGATAACATAAAAACATGCAAACAAGAGAGATAGGGGAATACAAAAGAGATTATACAGTAGCTATAGTAAGAAATTGACTGTGCCAGAATTATAAGAAACTAATGAATCTAATGAATATATTATACATTGTGCAGGTGGCAGGTGGCAGGTGGCAGGTGGACTGGGACTGGGTCAAAAATGTGTGAACATTATGGAGTCAATATGTGCCACTAGGTATTACTAAAACATAATAAAAAGGAGGACCCAAAAATACAATTTGTGGCTTTCTATAAGCAAGAGCACTTCTAGTAAATGCTCGCCATTGACATTATGATGCTATACTTCCTTCCGTAGAGAATGTTATTTACACGTACACTTTAGCCTGTTTACCAACAACACTCTTAAGAAGTAGGGCTGTGTGACTGTACCGTTACTCCGTATTTAAGAGCTATCCCTTGGAGGGTGTCCGAGGCAGTGATATTGTGTATCAGGTGTCCATTCTCTCTATGTCTTCCTTTCCCTACCGTCCCGTAATGGCGTCCTTTCTGGGACTGGTGTACGAGGGAAGAATGAGAGTCTCCTTTACTACTCATGGCCTCTTTCTTTTCTCCTTTTCCCGAGGGTCTCTTGACTGTAGAAGGAGGAGAAGAGGCCGGGCTGATCGTCTCCTGAGTAATTTCTATTCCATTGGCATAAGCTGCCATTATTCATAACTATGGGCGTGACTTATTTAGAGCCACACCTCCAACAACAATTAATTAACGTTAATTAAAATGATTCAAGGCAACCCATGATGCTATGAAGCTAAATCCTTACTATAAAACTGCATTACTATCTCCCTCAATTATGATGGTCACCGTAGTCAAAAGATAAAATTTTTGGAGGGACATAAGTCCCTTTGTCCTTTTATAATTTATTAATTTATAAGTTGTACCATAAGTATGATCTATTAGTTATATACCGGTGTATAAATACATGTATCGTCTAGTCTGATGAAACAACCATTATAGTAATAGCAAGAGCAGATCTACTCTTGATAATAGTATGTCCATTCCAAATCTAAATAAAAGTGTGCAACCTTTTTATTTATTAAATTATCAATACTTATAATATTAGACTTAAAAGTAAAGTTGAATTATCATGTACATATGGCATGCATATTAAGTGCATCACAAATCACAGTTAATAATAATTATTAAAATAGTATTTTTTCATCTTCTTATAAAGTGGCGGAACTGAAAGTAATAGGTCCAATTGACTCCATTCTCTCATAATCACTTTCATCTTCATCCGCTGGTCGTTCCGGTACGTCCCACGATTGTCCAGTAACCAGTCTCCGCTCTAACTGCACCGGGCAATCCGGAGGGGGAGGCGCTACTTGAGGTGGGCATGGCGGTCCTTCAAAACCCGGTATTGGTTCGTAAATAGCTTCGTCAGATGCAGGAGGGGGAGGAGGGAGAGGAATATGAGGAGGGGTATTGAGAAGATATATGTGAGAATTCCGACCGGGACCTGGGGACTGTCGCAGTCTCTTTGGGTCCAGCTGTTCCATAGATCCTTTATCCAGTGGATTGAGTCGACTTGAGCGGGGGGACATGTAGTGNGTTGGGTTGGCCTTGGCTAGGGGGACACTGAGCCCACGGGAACGAGATGGCGACATGTACCAGGAATTCTT